ATGTCTCACTTGAACAGTTCAATAGTATATTAATGAGTAGATGGCTGCGGAACTCGCTGCGCTCGTCCCGCAGAGGTCCACCCATAAGTTCCGCAACGATCCACTTATTTGTACTTGAACAATAGCTTATTATGTGAAGTCAAAATTTGTAAGAATATTCACTTTTTGTCAATTTGCCTTTCAACAGGAATTAGTAATGTTACTTTACCAAACTAGTAATATAATGTGACAAATTATTCAAGTACAAATGAGTGAATTATTGCGGAACTTATAGGCGGACCTCTGCGGGACGAGCGCAGCGAGTTCCGCAGCCATCTATTCACCAATATATTGTTCAAGTACGATACTAACCTGACTCACTTAAATGTGAGTTATTCTCATTAGTTCAAAAACTACACGTTTCAGGTGAGTGTCTTATTTGAACAGTTCAACAGTATATTAATGAGTAGATGGCTGCGGAACTCGCTGCGCTCGTCCCGTAGAGGTCCACCCATAAGTTCCGCAACAATCCATTTATTTGTACTTGAAAAATAACTTATTATATTAGAATTTGTAAGATTATCCACTTTTTGTCAATTCGTCTTTCAACAGAAATTAGTAATGTTACTTTACCAAACTAGTTATATATTGTGACAAGTTATTCAAGTACAAACGAGTGGATTGTTGTAAAACTTATGGGTGGATCCAACCATCTATTCATGAATATGTTGTTCAAGAAGGATACTAACCTGACTCACTCAAATGTTATTTTCATTAGTTCAAAAACTACACATTTCAGGTGAATGTCTTACTTAAACAGTTCAATAGTATATTGGTGAGTAGATGGCTGCGGAACTCGCTGCGCTCGTCCCGCAGAGGTTCACCCATAAGCTCCGCAACAATCCACTTATTTGTACTTGAACAATAGCTTATTATGTAAAGTCAAAATTTGTAAGAATATTCACTTTTTGTCAATTTGCCTTTCAACAGGAATTAGTAATGTTACTTTACCAAACTAGTAATATAATGTGACAAATTATTCAAGTACAAATGAGTGAATTGTTGCGGAACTTATGGGTGGACCTCTGCGGGACGAGCGCAGCGAGTTCCGCAGCCATCTATTCACCAATATGTTATTCAAGTACGATACTAACCTGACTCACTCAAATGTGAGTTATTCTCATTAGTTCAAAAACTACACATTTCAGGTGAGTGTCTTATTTGAACAGTTCAACAGTATATTAATGAGTAGATGGCTGCGGAACTCGTTGCGCTCGTCCCGCAGAGGTCCACCCATAAGTTCCGCAACAATCCATTTATTTGTACTTGAAAAATAACTTATTATATCAGAATTTGTAAGATTATCCACTTTTTGTCAATTCGTCTTTCAACAGGAATTAGTAATGTTACTTTACCAAACTAGTAATATATTGTGACAAGTTATTCAAGACAAACGAGTGGATTGTTGTGAAACTTATGAGTGGACCCAACCATCTATTCACGAATATGTTGTTCAAGTATGATACTAACCTGACTCACTCAAATGTTATTTTCATTAGTTTAAAAACTACACATTTCAGGTGAATGTCTTACTTGAACAGTTCAATAGTATATTAATGAGTAGATGGCTGCGGAACTCGCTGCGCTCGTCCCGCAGAGGTTCACCCATAAGTTCCGCAAAAATCTACTTATTTGTATTTGAACAATAGCTTATTATGTGAAGTCAAAATTTGTAAGAATATTCACTTTTTGTCAATTTGCCTTTCAACAGGAATTAGTAATGTTACTTTACCAAACTAGTAATATAATGTGACAAATTATTCAAGTACAAATGAGTAAATTGTTGCGGAACTTATAGGTGGACCTCTGCGGGACGAGCGCAGCGAGTTCCGCAGCCATCTATTCACCAATATGTTGTTCAAGTACGATACTAACCTGACTCACTTAAATGTGAGTTATTCTCATTAGTTCAAAAACTACACGTTTCAGGTGAGTGTCTTATTTGAACAGTTCAACAGTATATTAATGAGTAGATGGCTACTTTACCAAACTAGTAATATATTGTGACAAGTTAGTCAAGACAAACGAGTGGATTGTTGTGAAACTTATGAGTGGACCCAACCATCTATTCACGAATATGTTGTTCAAGTTTGATACTAACCTGACTCACTCAAATGTTATTTTCATTAGTTTAAAAAATACACATTTCAGGTGAATGTCTTACTTGAACAGTTCAATAGTATATTGGTGAGTAGATGGCTGCGGAACTCGCTGCGCTCGTCCCGCAGAGGTCCACCCATAAGTTCCGCAACAATCCACTTATTTGTACTTGAACAATAGCTTATTATGTGAAGTCAAAATTTGTAAGAATATTCACTTTTTGTCAATTTGCCTTTCAACAGGAATTAGTAATGTTACTTTACCAAACTAGTAATATAATGTGACAAATTATTCAAGTACAAATGAGTGAATTGTTGCGGAACTTATGGGTGGACCTCTGCGGGACGAGCGCAGCGAGTTCCGCAGCCATCTATTCATCAATATGTTATGTAAATACGATACTAACCTGACTCACTCAAATGTGAGTTATTCTCATTAGTTCAAAAACTACACATTCCAGGTGAGTGTCTTATTTGAACAGTTCAACAGTATATTAATGAGTAGATGGCTGCGGAATTCCAACCCATAAGTTCCACAATAATCCACTTATTTGTAATACATGAAATATGTCTAGAATTTTCCGCAGAATCCAGAAATGTCCTAATATACAAGAGGAGTCATTTAAAAAAACATAACTGTTCAAAAGAGGAGGTTGCTTAGTAACTTTTATTATGACGTCATTGGTATGCTGTTTCAAGATGTTTAAACATCAGTATTTCGAGTACTTTTGCAGACTCTCTCGCTTTTTTTTAAATTTCAAAAAAAACAAAATATCCTATCTGGTGGAAAAGGCGAAAAAAAGTTGAAAAGGTTTCTTGGCAATTTTCCATCCAACGCCCCCTTAAGAAGTTATAGAAGAAAACCTATCAAAAATTATTTGGCAGAAGATTCCTCAAAATTGGAAATTTACTTTTTTCAAATTTTGAAAAATCGAAATATTCTATCCGATTGAAAAAACGAAAAGAAATCGAAAACGTCTCTTGGCAATTTCAAGTCCAACGCTTCCTCAATAAGTTAGTTACACGAGAAAATCCACTTTATTTTTTACTAGGCAGTGCAGTACGAAGCAGACACCCTGTATATTATAATTATTAGTTATTTAGTGTTGAGTGGCAATAATTCTAATTAATTATTTGTGGGAACCCTGATTAGAACGAAGAACCGAACAGAAGTATTACAGAATTTCCCAAAATTGGAAGTTTATATTTTCGCAATTTCGAAAAATCAAAACATCTTCTCTGATAGAGAAAGCGAAAAAAAAAACGAAAAGGTCTCTTGACAATTTTACGTCCTCCAACGCCTCCTTAAGAAGTTACAGAAAAAAATCCACTATATTTTAATTTGCAAATAAATCAAAAAATGCTATAATTGTATATAAATTTCCAGCTCAGAGTATTTAAACTAATTCGAGCAATGTATCTTGTGCCTCCACATTATTTACGAAGCCAGAGGATCTAATGTAAAATAATAGCCCAGAAAAAAGTAAAATTAACTGATACGCATTACTTTTCTGCAAAGGTTTTTTTTTTCTCCAGTGTATTCCTTGGGGGATTTTATTTTTAATACTGGCCCAAGAATTTATTTTAAAAACTCAGCTACAACAACGATTTTCTTAAACTTTCAAAGGCTACGAAATTATTTCCTTGTACTTTTTAATTAAATTTTCAAAGAAGGAATCCTACTCTACACAGAGCAAGAGAGGGAGTTTCTCCTTGCGCGCTATGGTTTATGCATATTGAGTTTTCCGAGTGTATCCACCTTTATTAGATTCAGAGAGCTACGTAAATCTTGAGGCATTTTATTGCTGCGGTTTATAGAAACGTTATTTTAACAATTTATAGAGCTACAAAATATATTCTGACATATGGAAAACACAAAATCCCTTTTACGGAGGCTTAGAGGCTTCATTGTTGTAATGGACCTGAATTGAAAATGTTGAAAACCAAGGCTTCGGATACAACAACACCCATATTATTTTATTAAACGGTCTTAATCAAGAAAATACTTGTTTTAAGTCTGTTTAAATGGCTGTTTTCGCTATACGAAGTTATTTTTAAACCCCTGGCAATTTTGTTGAAAGTACTTTCGAGAAACTTTCGTATAATGAATGAAATCGATAAAAATTGGTTCATTTGCTTAAAAGTTTATTCAGTGTATTATTAACTTTCCAATATTTGAACAAGCAGTAGAATAATATGGAATATTTAAATACAAGAGAACAATGAAAATGTAAAGTTGGATTATATTTCAAATTAAAATTCTAAATTGGTTTTGCCTTGCTTGCTTGATGAAATAAAAATATGAAAAATAAGAAAAAATCTCGATCGTCTTGAAAAACAACACCCTGTCCCAGTTAAAAATGCAATCGACACTAAAGCTTTCGTGCAGACCGAAAAGGGGTTTCCATGGCGACTCTCGACTCTAGAATTTCATTTCGTGGTCATCTCGTAATCGGATTATCTATAGAGAGCCAAAAGCTATCTGCATATTCCGGTCTGTATATGCATAGAAATGTTTTATTATCGGATCGAAGTCTTTCTTTTTTAATCTATATTATTTTGCATTGAAATCGTGCAAATTACCTCAAGATTTTGCTGAAACTTAAACTGAATATCGCCCCAGTTTGATATCGATTCAATATTTTCAAATCGTTTTGATAGTTTTATAGCGAGAGCTAGTTTTATTGAGCAATTTTAAGCCGGAAATATTAAAAATACGTTCGACTGGAAAGAAAAATATAACGGCAATTTATCTTGCCAGGAAACATATTACAAGAATTGAAAGAATAAATTTTAAAAAATGACTGAATTTCTTTGTCTTAAAAATATTCATTTTAAATAAAAGTTTTTTTTTTGTTTCAGTGGAAAAATTGCCGCCAGGTTTTCCGCAAGTCACCGAATCGCCGCAAAATAACAAAGTAGTGGAGATCGGCCATAACACGATGCTGAATTGCGCGGCTACCGGAAGTCCGGCGCCGAAAATTACGTGGCTGAAAAATATGTTGCCCATCAATATGACTAACAATCCCCGGTACTCGATCAGGGACGACAAACCAGGTAAGAACACTAGAAATATTATGTTTATGTATTGTACATATTATAATAATGAGATATTTTCATTGATTGAATTGTTTTTGAAAATTTTTAGACGAAATTTCAACTAAAGGTCAGCTGTGAACATCAATATTTCAGAAAGTTTAAAAGCAATCAAAACTAAATTAGGCTCAGTTTCATAGAATATTATTGGACTTTTGAAACGATGTATATTTTAAATTAATTGGTTAGAATCTTATTGCAGATATTGAGCAATTAATTATTCATCATAATCATCCCTTCAAACCTTCCTTTCACTCCTATCAAAATTGCGAATTAATACTTGAAACAGTTCATGAGTAAAAGAATCATTTACATCCTTGTGTCTAAATTTTTGAAAAATTCCCTTATTAATCAAACTATTTCAGGCTGTATTTTCCAAAGTTTTCTCTCAAACAATTTATAAATTTACTATAGCATATTCCAAACCTTCCTTTCACTCCTCCCTAAATTACAAATTGATACTTGAAACAGTTCATAGGTAAAAAAATCATTTACCTACATCCTTGTGTCTAAATTTTTGAAAAAATCCCTTAATATGTTTATAAACCTAGCAGTCCCAAGGTGGAAAAAAACTTCGGGAACTATATAATAATTAGGTGCTTTTTAGGTGCTAATTAGGGCCACTAATTAAAATTTAGGTGCTCCTTTAGTTTTTGAGAAAATCAAAAAAAAACTAAGGGATTGCTGGGTTTATGAAAGCTAGTAGTCCCCTATAGTAAAAAATATTTTTCCCAAATTTTCTTTTATAACAGAATTAGGTGCTTTTTAGGTGCTCCTAAGTAGTCGAAGAAAAAATAGAATTGATTAATTATTAACTGAGTTACAGATTTTTTTTTAATTATTAGGGGACTGCTGGCTTTACGTTTACATGTTGGTGTGTCAGAATGGAAAAAAAACTTCGGGATCTATATAATAATTAGGTGCTTTTTAGGTGCTAATTAGGGCCTCTAATTAAAAATTAGGTGCTCCTCTAATTTTTGAGAAAAAAAAGGGATTGCTAGGTTTATGAAAGCTAGTAGTCCTGTCGTAGGCATAATGCAAATTTAGGCTTTTCCTAAAATGCCTAGGCATTTTACGAAAAGCCGGCAAAACGCAAGCATAAAATGAATTTTTCGTTATGCCGACAACAATTCAGGCAAACTGATAAAATGCCGGCAAAACAAAAACAGAAGAATATACAGGGTGGGGACTTTAACTGGAACTAATTCACTAGAGCCTTCGGATAAAATATGTGGGCAAAACGCAAAAACACGTCGATCAAGATTTTTTGCTTGAGTTTTTTTCACATTAATTTTTTTATACAGGGTGTTCCAAGAACAGCTGTACGGTTGTCAACTTTATTTTTCCAAATGGTAGCCCCTGTAAATTATGACATTTCTGGATTCTGCAGAAAATTCTAGACATATTTCATTCACAATGTCATATACCTATCTTCAACTGTTTCGAAAATATTGACAGTTGAAAATGGACTTTTTTGCAACTTTGACAGGCTGTAAAACATTAACGGTTAATTTTAGAGGAAAACCGATTTCACATTCCAATCCATGATTAAAAATTCCAGTTAAATTCAATCTCCAGTTAAATTCAAAGTTAGTGTCAAATGATAGTTTATGAAAATCTAAGATAGGAATGTAAAACTGGTTTTCCTCTAAAATTAACCGTTTAGGTTTCACAGCCTGTCAAAGTTGCAAAAAAGTCAATTTTCAACTGTCAATATTTCCGAAACAGTTGAAGATAGGTATATAACATTGTACATGAAATATGTCTAGAATTTTCAGCAGAATCCAGAAATGTCATAATATACAGGGGCTACCATTTGGAAAAATGAAGTTGATAACCGTACAGCTGTTCTTGGAACACCCTGTATAAAAAAATTAATATGGTAAAATTTCAAAAAAAAAAACCTTGATCGACGTGTTTTTGCGTTTTGTCCACATATTTTATCCGAAGGCTCTAGCGAATTAGTTCCAGTTAAAGTCCCCACCCTGTATATCATGTTGTGACTGATTATTTGTAGGCATTTTACAATTTGCCAAAAACGGTGCCGTCAAAACGTGAATAGATATAAAACAAGTCGAATTTGTTGATTTTTTGTAGGAAGGTATAATTTTAGTCGCTAATCACAAATCTGAAATCCGTTCTTGTCGCTCGCATTCGGTTTCCGTTTTGCGCGCTTTGTTATTAACCAGTACACTTATAACCAGTAATAAACGAACTTTAACGAAACTAACCAAAAGTATGGAAACTAACCCAAACTAACCAGTCCACCTAATCAATGACTTGAGTGTTTGTTTACTGTTCGGACTCGTTTCAAGTTTCGAATGAAAAATCAGTTTTTAGTAGTGTTTTTCTGGTATTGTATTTTGTTACGAGCAATGTTAATAATTGAGCATTAAATTTAATGCCCGGGCAATTTAGAAAGTGCCCAAAGCAAAGAAATATGACAAAATTATGAATTATACAAAAGATATCAGATTGCCCACACGGCATTATAAATGATGACCGGGTTATTATCGGTAAGTTTGGTAATGTCTGAATCAAATTTCAAACTAACCGACACTAACCTGGTTATTATCGGTAAGTTTGACAATGTACCCCAATCTCTTAGAGTAGTCCGAACAGTTAGGGTACTCGGAGTACTCCAAACAGTTGGAGTACTCAAACAGTTGGAGTAACCGAAGTATTCCGAATAGTTGGTGTACTCGGATTACTCCCAACAGTTGGAGGTACTTTATACAGTTGGCGTACTTCGATCAGTAGGAGTACTTCGAACAGTTAGAATACTCCGATCAGTAGGAGTACTCCGAACAGTTAGATTACTCCGACTTAGCAGTACTCCAAACAATAGGAGTACTCCGGTCAGTTAGCTCACACCAAACAGTTGGAGTACTCCGAGTACACCAATTATTCAGAATACCCAACCCAACTGTTCGGAGTACGCGAAATGTTACTCCGAACAGTTGGGTCGGAGCACTCCGTACAGCTGTTATTGAACTGCCGCGTAATAGAATGTGTGATAGATTTTCCTACCAGCATGCGAGAAACACACACGCATTTTTATTCCAGTCCGTTATCATTATCAAACTTACCGATAATGACCCAGTTAGCTTGGATTTATTGGCAATTTTAATCGGTGATTATCAAACTTACTGATAATAATCCGGTTAGTCTGGGTTAGTTTGCAATTTTAATCAAACAAGTTATCTACTTCACTCATCCAGCATTAATCATAATGACCAATGCCCGGACAATGTGATAATATATCTTCTAAATCATTCATTCATTCATTAAATTGTCTGGGCATTATAAATAATGCCATATTATTTACATTGCCCATTGCCCGTGACATACGAAAAAAAATTAGAGAATGTACTGAGTGCACTCACCGGTCACCGGGTAAGTTTTCGAAGCAGCCAAAGTGCATTTTCATCTGTAGCCACGAATGTCCTTGAATGTTAATATTGAATTGTTGTCAACCAGTACACTTATAATCAGTATTAAACAAACTGCAGTTTTATATTTGTGTTAGGTAGATAATATAGTGTTAACTGTTTCTTTATGTTTTCTAAATAAAAAGATTTACTCTAACTGTATTATTTATATTTAATAGTATTTTCGACTTTTTTTTCACGTTTTGACGGGACCGATTTTGGCAAATTGTAAAATGCCTAAGAATAATCAGTCACAACATGATATATATTCTTGTGTTCTTGTTTCGCCGGCATTTTATCAGTTTGCCTGAAATAGTGTCGGCATAACGAAAAAAGCATTTTATGCTTGCGTTTTGCCGGCTTTTTGTAAAATGCCTAGGCAAATTATAAAAAGCCCAAATTTGCATTATGCCTACGACATCACATAGCGGTATTTAATCGATCTAGAAGGCCAAAATTATATCTCTGGTTCAGTTAATCCAAAATGTGTTTTATTACTGATTCATTATGTTTTTAGGAGACAGAATGTATTAATCATAGGAAAATTAGTATATTTTCGTTTAACGGCAAAATAATAATATATTTTTAAATAAAGCAATAATTCCTCAAATAACTAATTTTCACTAGACTAAAAACGAATATTTCAAAAATCAGGTATGCCATAATTCTTCGTCAGAAATGTCGTCGCTATCATAAAAAGTCTCAGATTCAATTGTAGTCTGATTTGGATTCTGGAAAGTAGGCTCAGCTGGCAGTAACATTTGTAGCGTCTCTTTTAAATATGGTTTTGTTTTCTTCCTTGGAATTCCCCTCATACTTGATAGAAGTGGATCGGAACTCAATAAGAGCCTATTAATAACATCTTAATTACATGATACTCTGGAAAACTTTCTTGCAAAATTCTGGCGGTATTGCCGAAAATGTTTATTCCTAGCTTCTGCTGCTTCTTCGGAAAGCTGTCCTATTGGAAGCAAGGCATTTTTGATCACAGTGGCACTATGCATTAATATTTTATGCATAGTGGGTGTCATTGGATGCCAGGGGTACAAATCAACATATATCTTGGCAGTATCCATACAATACTCATGAAATTTTTCTTCATTAATTCTATGACCACTAGAAATTGTTTCTAGTATCACCTTAAAACGATATATTAGATTAAAATCAATTCCCGTTATTTCAGCTGCTGCCTCTGGATCTGCAAAGAATCGACGACTGGTGTTTCCGTCATTTGTAGAACCAAATCCAGGCTTAGCAATATCTACAATTAAGCCCATTTGATTTCTAAAGTTATGCTGAATCTGGATCTTTCTTTGTTTTATAGTTTCTTTTTTAGCCTCTGCTTGCAAGCGCCATTTTTTAATGGTTAATTTGTATGAGACATGCAGCAAGCTTTCAAAAATGCGGAATCTGGCATGCAAAATTGATAATCCAAACTTTAGAACCTCTGTATTGACTTCTCGATTTATTTGCAGGTTGTTAAAGTCTTTAGATGTTAAACCGCATTTGTAACACTTCATTGTAGATGTG